AGGCGGCGACGCGCCTGAGAGGAGACTGGTGCCTCTCTAGGATTCCTGCTTCGCGGAGGAGCTCAACTCCCTTTGGATTCAAGTGGAAGAGGAAAGGGACCCTGGGTCTTGGGCGTTGATGGCAAAATGAGAGGATTCAGTTGAACCCCTAATGGGTTTCTGAATAAAGAGGCTTTCGGCCTAGCGTGGGCTGCCTCCTTTCTTCCTGTTGAGACGCATTTCCCATTCACACCCCCTTCTGTTTGGGCTAAAGCCCATTCCATTTCTGCAAACAAAAAAGGGAGGTTTAGGCTTGGGCTCATTTTGTTTCTAGCACCTCCAACTTTGCTGCTGCACCCCTATCTTGGGGCCTGGATAAGAAATTTCGAGTTACTCCTGGTTTTTATCTCTGCACTCCTATTCTTAATACATTTCTTTGCTTTTATTATTTGTTTGATTATTTAGTTTTTACTGTATGTAACTCCTTGTATGATAACCCCCACTCCTATATCTGGTGTTTTATTTTTATTTATTTATTGGACTTGGTTTATTTGCCGTACTCTAAACAAAAAAAAAGGAGAAAATCGATATAAAAAAAATAATAACAAATAAAATATTTTAGAGGTTAAGCACATGTGTGATCGCTCACATCGTCCTTGTGCAAAAAACATTTTCTCTTTCTTTTATAAAAAATACCAAAAACTATTTTAAAGGTTAAGCACATGTGTGATCGCTCTCATCGTCCTTGTGCTAAAAACATTTTCTCTTTCATTCATAAAAAATACCAAAAAAATATTTTAAAGGTTAAGCACATGTGTGATCGCTCGCATCGTCCTTGTGCTAAAAATCTTTTCTCTTTCTTTTATAAAAAAAATACCAAAAAATGTTTTAAGGGTTAAGCACATGTGGGATCGTTCGTATCGTCCTTGTGCTGAAAACCTTCTCTCTTTCTTTTATAAAAATACCAAAAAATATAAAATCCTTAAAAACTAAAAACATCTACATTTTCAAACGAACTACGTGATCCTTGATTCTCCATCAAAAGTGGAGATACGTAGGAGCAAGGCTAGTCCTTTTCAGGTTCACTTCCCAAAATCCAAAATCATTTCAAAATAAATTTTCAAACAATTTCCAAACAAACTTCTCAAACAGTTTCAAAAGAACTACGTAACCCTGATTTCTCATTCTGAATGAGAATACGTAGGAGCAAGGTCAATCCTTGTCAGGCCCAAAAAACTAAAAAATATATTTTATGTCTTTAGAGTTTTACTTTAGGGATAGTTAAACATTTTGAAAACCACATCACATTCACGTATCTAGTTAAAGGTACTGCCTTAGGGCAGACATTGTAGGGTGTTAATACCTTCCCTACACGTAACCGACTCCCGAACCCAGAATTTGGTTTTTCCTAGACCATGCCTTATCCCTTGATGGTTTTTCCGTAGTTTTCCATAATAAACTATGGTGGCGACTCCAAATCTCTTTTTCTAAACCCGCTATGTTTTTGGCTCGACGTCCCATCGCGATTCCGGTTGCGGAAGGATGAAGTATTGTTTTGGCTCATGGTATCGTTTAGGCAAGTAAACACTTCTTTTGAGCTCTGTCTCTTCTTTAGACAGATAATGTTTAGCTTGTTTATGTTTTCTTTTATATTTTATCTTTTAGTCTTTTAGTGTATTTTGTCGAAGACATCGTCTTGACATTGTTTTGTTTTTTAAAGCTAAACCGAATAACCTTGGGTATGATCAATTTTAAGCGTTTAGCTTTAACTCTCTTAGACGCTTTTGGCATAACAACCGTTTCTAGGTGTTTTTGACCTAGATGTTTTTCTATTTCCTAAGAACTTAAGTGTTTTTCTAAAGTTTTCTATGCTGGGGATTCAGGTTCTAAGTCTTGTGTAGATTTTCTATGTTGGGAATTTAGGTTCTAAGTCTTTGTTTTTTCATCCTAAGTATTTTTTAGATTTGGTTAAACTTCAAAACATGAGAGCGTTAAGACACATAGACGATTTTGTCTTAACAAATCATAAGTTAGCTCCCCTTACCTTCACTACAAGCTAGCATTCTTCCTCCTCTTTTTGTTCACCCATGGGCTTATCCTCCTCCCTTGTTAACTTCCAATGTTTTCTTCTCCAGCCTTCACTCACAACTTTCTTTCTTTCTGTTTATTTTTGTTGTCTCTCATCCCTCCCCCGTTTCTTTCCTCTTTTATATCTTAAACCCTAAACATTCCCTCCTTTTTTTTATCTTTGGAGTAGAAACCTATCTATCTCTTACTCCTTATCATTTATGTTTCTCGAATATTAACCTCCATTGTTTCTATTGTGCCCCAATACCTCAGGCCCACACGTAAGTTTTTCTCCAAAAGCATAACCCCTTTACTTTTCTTTCCCCGAAAACATAGCAATAGGAGGCCAACAATGCTCTTTTTTTTCATTCCATTAGAAAGACCCATTTTTCTCTCTCAATTTTAAACCACTATTAACGTGAAAACCCCTTCCTTTATGCATTACATTTTTATTCAACCCACCATGGGTCCACCTCTCCATCCATCCAATTAGAGAAACTCTTTCACATTGTGGGCCCCACAGTCCAATATTAAAATAACCCCATTTTGCATGCCAACAATTTACGTACATTTGTTATCGCTTTCTATGACCCTTAATCATGATGGAGGTACATATGTTAATGATTATTGTGATAATGGAGCATCAGGGAAATACTATTGATAGTAATGGTATCAGGAGGTGTAGTTAGCATAGGTGCTACTAAAAGGATAGATTGTTGGTTTAATTATTGATTTAGTTGTGTGACGATCGAGGATTGAGGATCGAGGATGTAGTATCGAGGCTCAAGAAGTGACAATCAGATATCCAACTCTATCTCTAATATTTCCTCACTTATAATAATATATTTTAAAAACTAAATCTATCTAAATCTCTATCTCTCTTTTATCTCACGTTCATTATCCACCTTTTTATTTTATTTTATTTAATTCACACATTTTTACTTCCTACACCCCCTTATTTAATTTCTACACCAATTAAATAAAGGTAAAAGATAATTTTGCCCCTAAGCAAAAATACAAATAAAACAAAGGTTTTCCTTAACTCCTTTTCTCCTAGAATTGAACTCACACTCGTTCAATCCTAAAACATCTTTCCATTAACAAGTCAACACATTTATAATATCACGTACACACAAATCACTCAGTTATCAACATATCAATCATGTGTTTCACTTTATTAATAATAACATGAACTAATCAACATATCAATGATAACTCTAGAAATCATCTAAACATTAAACACAAATTACCAAAAATAATACTCAAGTCTTAAAACCACTCTTATTCCTTAATTATTACATTTTTCCTGAGTCTTACACTATACGCCATTTGCGAAAAGTTTAAATACATTATTCACCTCCTCTAGTGTTTTTTTGTGTTTTCACACAAATTTTAATTATTTTCAAGAACATGAAATAAAAATTTTAATTTTTTACTGTTTCGAGATGGTATCAGAAGACGATTTTACTTAATTTAATGAATTACACGTGATATCTTGAAAGAGATGTTAGACTTAATTGGTTGGATATCGAAATGTTTGGTTAGGAAGTGACTTTTATGTTATACAAGGTGTTTTTTTTTCAATATAAATTATTTCTTAAATTGGAAAAAATGTTTAAATTAAGTGTTGTTATAATTTTAATGAAAAGTAATAGTTGTGTAAATAAATTTGCGGTCAATAATTTAGAAAAAAAATAACTTATAAATGATATTCTTCTATGCCTCATAAAATTTCTTTTAATTTTTTTCCAAATCACTTATGCTTATAAATGCTCTTTTAGGTTCTTCTTCTATTTTTTTTTCTATATAGATTTGATTTGATTCTCATATTTTCTATTAATAAATTTATCCATGTAAAATTGCCTAAGGTGATTTTATATAAAAAGAATCAAATAACCTAATTAAATAAAATAAAAATATTAGGCTTAATACCCTATTTTGTCCCCAGTTTCGCTCGACAATGTCAAATTAGTCCATCCTTTAAAACATGCGTCAATTACGTCCCTACTTAATAAAATTTATATCAATGAAATCCCTTCCGTTAAATCCGTACAAACGGTGTTAATAGAAGAGAGAGAAAAATAATTAACGCTGTTTGTACGGATTTAACGGAAGGGATTTCATTGATATAAATTTTATTAAGTAGGGACGTAATTGACGCACGTTTTAAAGGATGGACTAATTTGACATTGTCGAGCGAAACTGGGGACAAAATAGGGTATTAAGCCAAAATATTATATTAATGTGTATCAATCTATTCACTTATCCACTTAATACCTCTATTCAATAACAAACAAAATAAAATCGGTATCAATAGAACTACTTAAGTTAATTAATTTTGATTAATAATTTTATTTCAAAACTATTTGCATAATTATATTTAATAATATTGTTTCCAATCATCAAGAATAGTTTATATCATCAATAATTGAATTAATAAGTTGTTTTCATATAAAATGATAATGAAAGTTTCATTTATGGGTTAAATATGTTTTTTTTCCCTTAACTTTAAGTAAAAATTGAAAATAATTTCTCTTCAAAACTTTGGTCCAATTTAGTTCTTCAACTTTATAAATGTGTGGATTTAGTTTTTCTAACTATTGTTAGGTTTATTTGAGGTTTCAAACCCGTTTTATGATTACAATTGAGTTGCTTACAGTTTAACACATTCCACCTTCATGTTAAATAAGAAAGGTATTTGAAACATCATATAAACTTAATAAATTTAAAAAAAAAACTAAATTCATATTATAAAGATGAAAACTAAATTAGTTCAAAGTTTCAACAATTTCAATTTTCACTTAAAGTTAATAGACTTAAAACATATTTAATCATTTCATTAATAAATTATAAATCAAAAAATTACAAAATAAGAATAAACGTGTTTGAAAATAAAAATAGGAGCAAGAAATGTTGCAATCTATTAATTTATTTAGTATATAAATAACCAGAGGTAAGATTCTTTTATTAAATATTTTTCATGTAAGTAGGAGCAGAGTTTTTAATTAAGCATCTGAATTGATGAACAATACGAAATCCATGACATAAAACAAAACGGAAAAGCGACAAATTCTTAACTGCGAGTAAAGCAAGGATGCCTGCAAATTCAGAACTGCAAACCTTAATTAACTGTTGTTAATGAAGGAAGCAATTCGTTGGAGCAAGGAGACAGCGCTGTCACAATCTGGATCGAACAAATGAAAGACGTGACCTTCTCCTTTTGCCTCCATCACCTCAGCAACACCTTGCCACTCAATCTTCTCCAGCAACTCCTTGTAATACCAACCCCTATCCTTCAGCAAATCAGTCTCAGCAACACAAATCAGCACTCTTTTCGAGGCCAGCTTCCCCAGATTCGGATCCTTAGCCGGGTTCAACAACGGGTCGTCGGATCCTGTCGAGGCAGGGCAAGTGAAACTCCACAAATTATCCACCATGGGAACTTGGTCGAGCTTTTGGACCTCAGAACCGATTCGCTCCACGCCCCAAAAGTAAGGATGAACCAGCACAATCCCTTGGAGGTTGATACCCGGAAGGCCGTGGATTCCGACGCGTAGAGCCATGTGGTGTGCGATGTTTGCTCCCGCACTGTCCCCAGCGAAGAACACATTCCCGAAATCAGCGTGGCGATTGAGGCACTCCACAGGGCCGTTTCCGTTACAATGGGAGGCCACCCATTGGAGCGAAGACCAGGAATCTTGGTGAGCGATGGGAACGGGGTGTTCAGGGGCTCTTCTGTAGTGAACGGAGACGGCAACGATGTGGGCCTTGGAAACAAGTGAGTTGAGGAATTTATGGTAAGGTGGAGAGTATGGTGTTTCTATGCAGAACCCCCCACCGTGGAAGTAGACAAGGAGGGGGAGCTTTTGGCTTTGATCGCTTAGTTTGGGAGTGAAGATCCTGGCTGATACGTCGTCGTCTTTTGAGATTACGAAGTCATTGGATAGGACATTTGTTGCGGAATCGATGCCCGGCGGAACGACGTCGCAGCCTGAAATTCTCTCGGCGCGACCGTCTTTGTAGATTTTTAGAAAGGGTGTTAAATCGAGGGCTACTTCGCTGCTGGAATCCATGGCAGAAAGAAGGCGATACTGAAGAAACTGAGTTGGGCTGGAGAAGAAGGGTAGGTATAATATAACAGCGGATTGAATATATGAGTACCGAATAGCGTCCACATAAAGTCTTAACTCGTTCACTCCCTCAACTAATCTCTATAGACCAACCAGGTATAATGTACAAGTCAATTAAATTATCAATTAACTAATTAATTGTTAATTAAGGTCTTTTAATAATTTATAATAAATAATATATTATAATTTCCTATACCATAATGATAAATTTATTAATCATTTATTTTATTCCGTCTTTAATTTATTTATTGAAAATGTAAAATTCTATAAATACTTGATAATATTAGAATTTTATTTATGAAAAAGTATACCCTGAGAAGTTGTATTGGTAGAAACATTTGACACCAGTGAGGTTATGACAAGCTTTAAACTTGATTCATTTCTATAGAGACAATATTTTTCATTTCTGTAGAGACAATATTTTATATAATGTCTTTATTGGTTATCAGGTGTTTAATTAGTTATAAGGGATACTATTTACTTTATATGCGATAATGAAGTTTCCTATCGAGGACAAAGTTATCTATGCTAATAATTGAATTGTGTATTAAATTTTAGGTTTAATAGTAAATTTTGTTCCAGTTTCGTTGACAAATATCAATTTAATCTCTCGTTTTAAAAGTGTTTAAAATGGATTTTCACTTTTAAAATTTTGAGTCAAATTAGTCCCTTCTGTTAAATATAAACAAACGACGTTAAGAGTTTGATGATTTGGCATAAAACAGTGCTAACATATTATTTTATAAATATATTTGTGCTGACGTGTTAGTGAATTAGAAGTTGACTGTGAAAGAGTAAAGATTGACGTGGAAAGTATTGTGCTTCCCCGGGGCTTGCGGCTGAGAAACCATCCTTCTAAGCCAGTTCGAGCTCGTCTTCAATGGCACCGCTTCGTATTGGTCCACCGAGAACTAAAGCAATGGGACATTCGTCAACATCCCAGAGATGATCATCCCTTACCTTTACGCCTTTCACTTCGTCGCGTCATTCTCCCCCGTCACAAATGAATATGATTATTATTTGTTATAGAAGTTCAATCATTTTTTGTCTTGTGTAGCCTGACTTCTGGAAAGAACCTGCAGATGTTGCCAAGAGAGCTTACAGTAAAACTGATTCTAATATTTTAGAGATGTCGGGTGAATTAGGTAGAGGAGGTTCAACTGTAGTTACAACCAACATTGAGGCTTAGAATAAGATGTTTTGTAGTTTTTTTCTATAAACTATAATACACTTTTGGTTCACCGTAGTATATCTTCTTGTAGTGTATGATCGTGTATATAATTTGTTATTATATGTTATATTTGGATAATTGTAATAGTAATTTATATGTTTTCTTTGAGTTAAATTTTTTTTATTATTAAAAATATATAATGGATCTAGTTGAACACTATGAAAAATTAGGATGTTACATAAAAACTCTCTATTATTAATAAAAATATTACAATTAATTTGTAATTGAGAGTCTAAATTGATCTCTTTATCAAAGTTTTTTAACTAACTATTATTACTGTCTATTATTAATTAAAAACTAGTTTAGAATATAATTATAATAAGCTAAATCTTTGATACTAATGTTAAAGACAAGTTTAGACTTGAATTTACAAACCAATTATAAAATTTTATTAATAATAGAGATTTTTAAGATATCAATATCTTTTTAGTTTATAAAATAATATTTAAGTTAATCAATGTAATAACTAATTATTTTTGGTTGCTAAATTAATTGTTATTAAGGATTTTCTTATAATCGTTAGTTTTATAATCACTGAACAAGATATAATACAACTTTAAAAGTATATTTTGTTGGGTATATTTTTTATAAGGTTTTAATGAGATATATTCTTGAAATAAAATACAACTTTTTAGAAATATCTTCAAGTCCCACATCAAATTCATACTATCCAAACTATTCGAACACTACATCATCCAAATCATTCAAGGGAAACAATTAAAATATTTAGAGTTATTATATGCAATCAAGTTATTACAAACCACTAAAAACTTATGAACTTATCCATTACGAGGTTCAAATATTCATTAGTCCGTTGTCAGTTAAAATCCTTTTATTTACTTATCGCCAATAATATCATGATCTCTCATAAGATTATAACAAATTTATTGATTTTTATTTTATTTTATTATAAATACATGACAATAGCACGAAAAATATTCACTCATTATTCAATATTCTAGTACACTTTTTATTCACCTATGCAAAAGTCTCCTCACTTTAAGTTGTCAAACCACCAACTTCATCCTATATTTCTCCCTAGCTCTCTCCTACTTGATTAAGGTTAAAATTAAAAATAAAAAAATCAGTCCACGTGTTGTGAACCAAAACGACGGTGGATTTGAACCAGAAAAGATTTGGATTCACATGCAGAAACAAGTTCACACAGACCCCACTCACCAAAAGTCGTCCATGGCTGGTGAAACCATTTAGAATTTGTGGTTTTTGTGGATTTTTAGCTCGTTTGATTTTAAGGTGAATTATTTAAGAAATTGTAATTTTACATCTGTCGGAAAATTTGTCATTAATTCTTACTTAAATTATTAGGATAGACAAATTTGAATTTATCAATATGATTAAGCTGTGTTTTGCGAATATTAAACTTCTTTTTCAATTATTAAAATCCTGTCCACATGAACATTTTTATTTTTAGTGTTTTTTAAGTTAAAGTTCTGTATACAAATGTGGTTTTTATTTTTTGAATTAAAAAAGTCTTGTATGATAAATATAATATTTTTCAATTTTTTTAAAATTACAGTTGACGATAAATACAACTTTTGTTTTTTATTTGTTATATTGATTTTTGTAAGATAATAAGACTTTTACTTTTCTTTTTAAATTTATCAATTTTAATTATTTCTAGAAACTATTCTAAACTGATAAATTTTCTGAAATTCATCACATTTTCAATGATGCTATTTATGCAAAGAGGGAATGGTACCATTTAAAAAAAATTAATAAAATCTATTATATCAAACATAACTTTTTTCGTGATTAAAAAAAGTTTTACTCATTTTTATGAAACTCGACATTTCTTAATACAAATTTTTTTTTAATAAATATTTATTCATTCATAATAAAATTGAAGTTTATCTCACTCTAATAATATCTAATTAAATTATGAGAGTAAAGTTTTTTAAATGTTTCTTCTTTGTCAAGTGATGCTCTTTAGGAGAGAAGGGAATAATGCTATCATATAAAACACAACAATCTGAGTCACAACAATATATAAAACAGAACCATCTAAATCCCTTTGTCATATGACGACCTAAAATTGACCAGAAATAAGGTAGCTCCAAACACTTTCTTCAATAATACGTAACAAGAATGACAGCAATGATATAGAATTAATTCAATAAATAAAAAGAAAAGTTAGACGAGAAGTTTAAGAGACAATGATGTTGCTGCCTTATTCTCAACGTTGAAAAGTCAAACAAAGAAATTTTGAATTGAATACAGGTGTCCCACGTTTCTCTCTCACCTCTTGTCGTTATGTATGAAACCGTATTTATTTATTTTTTACCTTATCCCATTATTAATAAAGGTTTTCTTGAGAATGAAGAGAGGGGAGAAGCATGGGAAGGCACGCAGAATGAATTAACTAAATAATCAAAAGTATTTATTTTTTTGAAAACAAATATTTTCTTCTTAAAATTCGAAAGTCATTCATTATCCTAAAAACTTAATCAAAAGAAGTATTTAGTTATTGTAATTTTTAATAATATTTTTTCTATGTATACAATAATAATAATAATTTAAATCTAATATTAAAATTGTAAAATAATTATAAAATAAAATAAGATAAATAAATATATTTATTTTACTTTTTCTCTATCTTTTATTCTTATTTTTTTTAATTTAAACAATCTTTCATTTCTTTTCTTTTTTATTCTGTGTATTTAGATCCACTGCAACATCTATTTTACTAAGTTTTTTTATGCTATTTGAAAGAAAAATTGTTAAAAATAAAAAATATTCTTTAACGTGAATTTAATAGTGATTAGTAATGTTTGTTGACAAAAATATTTTTATGCGTTAGATAATAATCCATTTTTTATATTAATGTAAAAATATTTTATTTATATTTATTTTACTATTTATAAAGCTTTGTATAATTTATTTTGCATATTATAATTAATATTATTTTAATTTTTTATTAATAAAATATTTTAATTGATGGTGTATATAATATGAGTGTAACATCGACTACACTACTATCTACTAATTTAAAATATTACAAATTAGATATTAAGCATAAACAATCACATAATATATATTTAATATCTACAATCCTATATGTAAATTGAAGAAAATTTTGCAAAGATTAAAACTTATTAGTATGGAAAGAAATACAACAATGCAAACATATGTACATATAAATATTATATCATACAAATTTTTTAAGGAGTTTTATATTATCCATTTCTTCCACCTATATCATCATCTGGTCATTTATAACATACAACCGGACAATCACAAACAACATACAAATATAAGGATAAGCTTATTCATTGTATAAAGTTCTATCATTCATTTCATCATACAATTTATCTTTCAAAAAGATATTCATGATTAATACAATACCAAACAACCAATCATTAGTACATTAATACTAATAAAACTAGACTCAATTATAGAATACATGTATTGAGCCAAATACGTGTGAAGTCCTACATTTGTCATGAAATCTCAATATAGTGAATTCGAGAAAAATAATTGTTGTGGCTCCACTTGACACATATTTAGCATATTTGAGAAAAAAGTATTTGTTGTGTTCCACTTGGCACACATATACCATGATAGGGTTAATTTACTATAACATCGCCACAATAATTATCTCTCACACTAATCCTAGTATAGAAACCTCATTCAACTTTTATAGCCTAAACTCCGTCTTTTATATGAGTATGTGAATTTAGTATAGTTAAGATGACCTCACAATCAGAACTTTCACTGAATACATACCCTAACATTAGACAATGTGGAAATTCTTCTAAGAATTAACTACAACCATATAATACACAAGTTAACCATACT